TTTCTCAGGCAATTGCAAAATCAGTTTACAACCTACCTTAGAGGGCTTGCTTCTCTTCATATACAAACAACAATTCCTATGCTGCCATCCATGGAAGTTCACTGCTGCTGTGAAACAACTCTCACCTTCAAAGTAAGATGACTCCTTCCATTGCTGCCCCACTCCAGCATTGAGGAACTAATTGGACACCTAAATCATAAGTATAGATATATGTCCAAACACCCTGAACACAAAGCAACACACTGAAAAAAATAAATGTTCACATGTTCCTCCACCCTCCACACACATGCACTCTACACCATCATACCACTGCTATGCAGAAAAGAAGTTTTCAACCTGTTTCTAAGAATTAAGCAACAAGCGTATACAACATACATTGCAATACATGATACACGTCTAAAGCAGAGTTCCCAAACAAATATAAGGAATTTCCCATGTCCCATTTTAAACAAAGCAAAATTCCACAAAAGGTACTAAACTGGGGTCTATAAGAAGAGCTAAAACAGATATTGGATTGACATGGAATTTCATTGAAATACAATCATCCTCACCATCCAAAAACATATCCATTCACTACATCACAACAGCTATTAGTCTTCACAAACTTGAACCTCTAAAAGAAGTCTGCTTCAATTTGTCACTTCCTCAGCTGCTCCATCAAATGCACTATCCTTGCCAACAGAAACAAGATTTTCCCAACAAACATTGTATCTGTACCGGCCCTCCACAGGGAGCCCAGCAATATCCACTCTTTGTTTTGTTCTGTTTTCAAGGTTATGCCAAAAAACCCCACCTACTTCCCCAAGCAGAATGCTATTCCTATCTTTTGAATAAGCCAAAGGCCTAGGCGGAAAAACATCACGAATTGTCGTCACATTCTCCATGGTGAACTCTTTCCGCCAGCTAACTCCCATAACATCTCCACCCTTATCTTCATTCACAAGCAAGTAATATTCTACAGTTCCATCATGTAATGTAGGACTATAAACTTTACCTCCGAAAACCACCAAGGAATCCGAAAAGATAGATCCTCGCCCGCAATCAGACGGTAGCGGGATGTCAAAGAACACCTCCTTGGCGAGATCAAAACCAACACACTTATTTTTTATTTTACATGGCCAGTACAAAGCGCCACTTGCAAAATGCCCCAGCGGCCATGGGCTAGCATCATCATTCAAATCTTGGCTCCTCCTCCAAAAATCTGATTTCAACCCAAAAATCCAGACGTGACAACACCCAAGATGAGGCTTTGAAATCAGCACAATCATATAGTCATCACGAACAGAATCATACCCTAAACCAGAACACAAGAATATTGCATTGGATTCGTCTGGAGGTGGTATTCTCTTATACCGCCTGGTAAATGGATTCCATATGGTAAGATGCGGACCAAACAGAATCAAACCATTGCAATAACCGTACATGGGTGCGTTGTGATGACGAGATATCAATGGTCTGTTGAGTGGGCGGGCACGAGCGAGGTTGTCATCAAAATCAGCAACGTAGATTTCGGAGCTCTGGTTGATCAATGAGCCGTAGATGACTAGCTTTTGGCGGGTTTCCGTCTGGATTGATCTGTCGAGATGATTCTTGACGAAATATTCACTATCGATTTCGGTGCGGAGTGATTTCGAAACACATCTGCATCGTAGGAGCGAACTCACCGGGAGGCGCAGGAGAATATCGGCGACTAATTCCGGCATCAATTCAGACATTTTCCTGATTTTTTTCATCGTCAGCAATTTAGGGTTTCACAGAAGATTTAGGAAAGTAATTGTGCTACTGGCAGCTTTAGAAATTTTAAGGTTTTAAATTAATTTTAAGTTTTTAACAGACAAATTCAGACCATGGGCCGAGCTTGCATTTAATGGACTGGACCCTATGAGTCTAATCACATATCGTTTCGGTTTGGGTCTGAAAGTGCTAGGCCTGGTTGTGAATGAGCATGCTATTGTATTAATTTTTACCGAAATGCTATCCTTACAATGTGGAGCGGCATTTTCCTCTGCACACTTTTCTTATTCAATCAGTTACAATAGAGGTTGCACAACCATAGACCCAAGTTCCATTGTGTGGCACAGGTAAGTTGATCTATAAGGATGACAAAAAGAAATATTGATGAGAAGATTTTTTAAGATGAGAAAGGGCCCATGCTCAGCAATTATGGTTGCCTTTTGTTCCTTTTTAAGATTTATTATGAAGAGATTGTAGATTGGAGATGTGTGTAATCATGTAAGAAACAAAAATGGAAGGATAGGCATACCTTTTTCCCATATTTTCTTATGAGGTGAAATAGCCATGTAGTAGGAAAAAGGAATATACACGCAAGAAAATGATGGTTTTACGGTGGAGAGACAGAGTTTGGAACGGAGGAGGAATTTGAAACCAGACTACTCAAACTCAATAATGATGATTTTGACGAATAAAAAGGATTTGGTCATTGTCATTGGAAAGTGCAAGCAATTTTGAAAAAATAACAGAAGGTTTATTGATTGGCATATTAGTTGGTTTATCTTTCCATTTAACACATTATATAATATATTTATTAAAAAATTATTATTTTTTGATTTAAAATTAGTGATAAATCAAATTAAAAATACAAGCATGAATACAATATGTAAAAATCAACTAAATTAATGATT